AAGAAAGCCAAAACCAAGCAAATACCTGGTACCTACAGCAACCCGATCTCGTGTTTGCTGACACTGCCAGTACCCAGATCCGGAATTTTTCAGATGCCTGCACAGCATAATTCCAGCAATTTGCTGGCACAGAAAATTAGCATCAGGAAATTTCTCAGTGCCAGCACATTCCCCACCCAGATCTGGTGTGCGCTGGCACTGTCAGTGCCCACATCTGGCAATTTCCCTCTTCTGGCACCACCCATGTCCAGCAATTTGCTGGCAAAGAAAGCTAAAACCTGGCAATTTCCCCTTGCCAGCACCACCCAATCTGGAGTTTGCTGGCAGCAGGACCCCAGGAAAGAAGGAAGGAAAGAAGGAAAGAAAAGAGGAAGGCATCCAGATCCAGTCCTTCCTGGGGCCTGGAGCCTGAAATGGGCTGTTTGCTGGCACTGCCAGTGCCCAGATCTGGAAAGTTCCCTATTCTGGCACAGCCGAAGTGCAGCAATTTGCTGGCACTGTTGCCTTCTGATACAAGGCAGGCGACCTGGTTCAGACGAACAGCACGGCAGCCCTCTCACTAGGGCCACTCGGGCCAATGACACACGCAGACATCAATGTGATGGACGGTCAAAAGGCTTTTATTATCTCGTCTCTTGGGTTTTTATAGTCTAAGGGGTCTCTACGTCAGCATGGGTCTGTCTTTACCTTCTATGGTTAGTAAGAGGTGGACTGTTACTGGGTAGGGGATGGAAAGTTACTGGAATTTGGTTAGGCGGGTTACATTCCTATGTTAGTTTCTTATCTGTGGGAGGCAGATGGTCTTATCTAAGGGGATCTGAGGGTCCTGGCTTTCCGTGACATCGCGAGATCTTCCGCAGCGCCTTTCCCTGTTACCACATCTCCCCCCCCCTTTTCACAAATGAATGAGGTAGTCATGCACATAGGTACTTAAGTGAGGTATAAGGTTGTAGCTTGACAAGGGAAAAGGGTCTTGGGAGTCCTGAGTTAAGCTTTTGTCAGACAAGTTCGGAGGAGCTTGTGACTGACAGTGTTCCCTGGTTGAATTCTCCGGTTGAATTCACAGCAATTGTCGTCGGCCTAAGAACAGGATGTTGGTCCGTTCCAGGCGGGTCTGAATGAACGAGACCAGCTTGTTCAGCAGGCATGGTCCGAAGGTGACTGTTAGAAACAGCATGGCCAATGGACCTATCAGGACAGAAATCAGAGTGGTTAGCCAAGGTGATTGATTGAACCAGGACTCGTACCAGCCCTGTTGGGCCTCCCTGTCTTTCTGTCTCTGAGCCAGTCGGTTCCGCAGTTCTGCCATGGAGTCCCTCACGACTCCCGTGTGGTCTGCGTAGAAACAGCACTCCTCTTTCAAGGCGGCACACAGGCCCCCTTGCTGCATGAACAGGAGGTCTAGGCCTCGCCTGTTCTGCAAGACCACTTCTGAGAGTGAGGAGACTGACTTCTCTAGAAAGGAGATGGATTTCTCGATCCTTTGCAGGTCCTCATCAATCGTTGCTTGCAGCTGTGACAGTCCTTGGTGCTGGGTCGCTAGGGCTGAGACTCCTGTGGCCGTTCCGGCTGCTCCCAGGCCGAGCAGCATTGCGATAGTTATGCCTGTCAATATTTCTCTTTTGTGGATCCGGCCGGGTCCCTCAAGAAGATGGTACATTTCTTCGTCTGAGTGGTACAGGATCCTAGGAACAATCAGAACTTGGACACAGAAGTCGTTAGAGTCATTGAATTTGGGAAGGAACACACAAGGACTCACTCCGGATCGCTGGCAAACCCACATCCCAGATGCGGCTGGGACTGCCCATTTATTGTTTTTCCTGTTAGGCTTGACGATTTTGGTGCAGACGTTGCCTTTCCGCCTAGCTAGGGTTGCATTGCCAAAGCATCTGCCTCGGCCTGTGACTTGACTCAGAGTGATTCCCTTGCGAGGGGTGTCCCATCTGCACTGGTGAGGGGCGTCGGCTGAGGAATAACTGAAGGGAGTGTTTAAGGCGACTCCTTCGAAAAAGGGGGGTTTGACATCGTAACAAAGCCAGCAGGATTCGGTTAGGTTAGGGTTAGATTCGTTCAGGGATACAAAGGTAGCTTCTAACATGCGAAGGATTGGGTCTGCGTCTGACTCGGTTAAGCGGCTCATCTGAAAGGTTTCCGCTTGACCGGTCGGGACTTTGCTGACCCCTGTGGGTAAGGTTTTGGGGTAGGTTACGTTTCTCCCTTTCGGCACGCTTTTAATCGCTTTGTTGGGTCCGACTGCTCGGGGTGCTGACGGTTGAAGCCTGATAATTCGCACATTCGCCCTCTCTTTTGACCCTTGAAGGACCACTGTCCACGTTCTGCCTGTGGCCCAGCTAGGGTGATCTGGCTGCAAGACCGTCATGTTGTACTCAGTGCATGCCCGAAATCTAGGGACTTTATGTTGGTTTCGATGGAAGTTCCCGTGAAAGAAGAGGGGTATTTTGCAACCGATGGGTGCCCAGGTGAACTGTAGGAATTTGTCTGGCTCTTGTGGATCCCACCCAGGCCCCGATGGCCTGGCATCTGTAACTATGGTTTCGCAGCCCCAGTGCCCACAATATCCCCACCCTGGGTGATTGCAGTAACTTTTCCCAGGGTTTGAAGCTGGGCACCAGTAGGATAGGTATGAGTGTTTGACGTGTGGGGAATAGGGGTGTACCTTTGGCTGTCCTGGAAACAGGTCGGTGATGCGGAGCACGAAGGATGGGGTGTTCGGTGTGGTGATCTGTCTGAGTGCTTTGCCCCTACTAAGGTGTCGCATGACCCACCTGAAGGGCTGATGGGGGTAGTGGTCTGGGCTGGCTTGCCCCCTGGCAACAAGCCCCAACAGCAAAATCACACAGAAACACCCTTGGTGCTTGGGTCTCACCCGTGCGGGTCTCTCGGGTGCTGCTTGGCGGCTTGGTGGTCTGTCGCTTTCGTCTGGAACCGGGAAGTACGCATCACGAGGGTGTCCCACGAGCAGGTCCTGTAAACAGATACTCGCAATTCTCGTCAGTCTCATTCTGCTCGCCCTGAAGGTCCGGTTTAATCGACTTAAGTGGACACCACCTGATTTTGCCGTCCTTTTTGACCGCTGCGTACCCTCGCCCTGTGAGCACCAGCCTCCAACCCCGTTCCCACTCGCCTAGCTCGTTTCTGATTACTACCTGCGGGCCCTCTTCTAGCGTTCGAGTGACCCAGTGTTTTTGAACGGGACTGTTTGTTTCATCTCCCCTAGGGAATTGATTCAGTGCCAGCAAGGCGGTTGCCAGTATACGTGCCTGATCTCCTGGGGGAATGGCGTTGGCAAAGCCCTCTGCTTTTGCCAACACTTCTATCTTGGTTTTCAGGGTCTGGTTTGCTCTCTCTACTATGGCCTGTCCGGTACTGTTATGTGGGATGCCGTGCACTAGCGTGATGCCCCATTTCGAGGCGAATTCCTGTACTTGTTTGGATTTGAAGTTGGAGCCGTTGTCCGTTTTGATCTGCTTGGGGATGCCAAGCCAGGCCATGGCTGTCAGCCAGTGCTGAATTGTGGCTTTGGAGTTGGTTTTGGGGTGCTGTGTAGCTACGATCGCTCCGCTATAAGTGTCTACTGTCACTGCCAGCCATGCTCGGGGCCTCAGTATTTCGCACCAGGTGAAGTCCGACTGCCAGATTTCTGAGGGCTTGAGACCTCTCGGGTTGACTCCGTAGGACCAAAGGGGTGACTTCTGGCAATGAGGGCAAGTGGCTACCACATGTTTGGCGTCCGCCGTCGAGATTCCGCATCTCTTCGCCAGTGCTTTGACTCCGATGTGGAGCGACTCGTGCAGTTGACGAGCTCTTTTCAAGGTCCAAACGCCTTTCGCTGCGGCGTCCGCTTTGTCGTTGCCGATCTGGAAGTAACCTTTGACTGGGTCGTGGCTATTGATGTGGATGACTGACACGGTGCCCTGTCGCGAGGAGAGTGCTTCTTCCAGCATTAGGGCTGCTGCTGATGTTGACACTCCTGGTCCTGCCATGGCTAGGCTGAGCCTTGCCACGAATATGGAGTCCGTTACGATGTTGAGGTGTTCGTCTTGGAAGAGTCCGCACGCCAAAACCACTGCTGCTGCTTCCAGTTGTTGCACTGACAGTGTGGGGTCCCTTGCTTTGACGCAGTGCCATTGCTCTCCTGCCTGCCACACTGCTGCTGCGGTTGATGTCGTGGAGGAAGCGTCTGTGAAGACCGTTGGTCCTGGCTGCGGTCTGTCCTTGACCTTCGGTGGCATGTCCATGTCGACTACGGTCAGCAGCTTAGTCCAGGGTGGCTTGGAAGAGTAGGAGATTTCTCCTCCGAAGCCGGAGAGAGCAAGGGCCAGGTACTCCGATATTGCGGCTGACTCTGTAGTCGGCTGCTTGCGAAACGGAAGGTGGATGCTTGTCGGCTCTGTCCCTAGGTGTTTCAAGGCGAGTCTCCTGCCTTTCATGATGAGGTTGGCAATGCACTCGATTCCTGGGGAAAACGCACGAGCGGGTCTTCCGAGGACCACCCATTGGATCGGTCGGGCCTTTTCTGCAAGTCCTTGGGCGAGTGCTCCCACTCCCCCCTTTGGTGTAAAGTGGACGTACAGGTCCAGTGGCATGGCTGGATTCCACCTGGCAAGCGTGCCAGTGGCCATTTGGTTTTCGATGAAGTCGAGGGAGCTCTTTGCTTGCTGTGTCAGCTCCTTGGGTTCCCAGGGGTGCTTTCCTTTCAGGAGGTCGTACAGAGGGTCCATGATCTCGGGAGGAATCAGGACGATGTTGCGAAGCCACTGCAGCGATCCCACCAGGCGTTGCATGTCGTGGAGCGTCTCGATGTCTCGGTTGATCTTCATCTCGGGGGGTGTCACGTAGGAGCTTGTGATGCCTACTCCCAGGAAGGTCACGCAGGGTCCTCTCTTGATCTTTGCGCTCGCGATCTCGAAGCCGTTGGCTTGAAGGGTTTCCGTGACTGTGGTCACCAGGTGATCCACTTGGCTTGTCGATGGTGCTGCGACCAGGATGTCGTCCATGTACTGGATGATGGTTGCGGTGGGGTAGGAGTATCGGACTGGCGTCAGTGCTTTGTCCACAGTGATTTGGCATATGGTGGGACTGTCGACCAGGCCTTGCGGAAGTACTCTCCATTGGAAGCGAAGGTTGGGCCTCTCGCCGTTCCGAAATGCCACGGAAAAGGCGAATCGTTCTCTGTCCTCAGGGTGCAGGGGTATTGAAAAGAAGCAGTCCTTGATGTCCAGCACTGCACACGGCTGCCCTGTGGGGATGGCTGAGTTCGTGGGAAGCAGTGTCTGGACTGGACCCATGGGTCTGATCGTCTTGTTCACTTCTCTCAGGTCGTGGACGAGACGATAGACTTGTCCGGACCTTTTGGGGACCACGAATACCGGGGTGTTCCATGGGCTGGTAGAGGGTTCTATGTGACCCTTTTGCAGTTCTCGATCGACCAGTTCCAGCAAGGCTGCCATTCGAGGCTCTGTCAGGGGCCACTGCTCAACCCATACAGGGTCTGATGATTTCCAAGTCAATTTGATTGGCAGCGGAGGGTGTACGGCAGTGGCCCTCATGATAAATTTGTGATCCGAAATCCTAGCAAGGAGAGAACATCCCTTCCTAACAGGGGTGGAGAATTCTGCAAAATGTAGGGGTAGATTGCTACTGTCTGTTCTGGTCCCTTTTTCGTGTGAAGTGTTATAGCCACCAGCTGGGTGCTTTTCCATGCCCGGGACTGCCCCCCCACTCCGTTCACTGGGGGGACTTCTTTGAATTGCCAATGTCCGGGCCAATGCGTTTGGGGAATAATCGTGCAGTCTGATCCCATGTCTGCCCAAAACTGAAGCCCTATGACGTGAGGATCTTGGCTGCCGTAAAGGCGGCATGTCCCCCACACCATCAAGGGCTCCTTCCCTATTTTCATGACCAAGGCCACCCAGGGATCCCGCTCTGGGGTGTCCCCTGCTGGCCCTGTGACTCCGGCACGGCTTGTGGCGGTGGGGGGTGCGAAGGTATTGAGGGTGCTGCACAGCTCTGCCATTGAATTGCTGGGGGGGATGCAAAGGTGACTGGTCCCTGTGGGGGCATAGGGTATGAGAGTCCCCTGCCCCACTGGGGGTTGCTGTAGCTGGGCCGCTGCATATTCCAAGTGGGAGGGGGCTGAACACGGCCCGGCCACCCCCTCCCTCTCCCGTTTCCCTGAGGCCTGGATCTGCATTCCTTAGCTAAATGCCCCTTCCTTCCACACCCCCAGCACGGTCCCCTGCCTCCCGCTTGGCGTGGTGGAGCAGCTGCTGATAGGCGGCTTGGCTGGGGGCAGTTTGCTGCCAAGTGGCCTGCCTGGCCGCACTTAAGGCATGCCATCACACTGGTTATTGCAGTTTGAACTGCTGCTTGGATGGGAGCTAGGTGTTCCTCCTTTGCAACGTGTCTGATCATGGCAGCTATATTGGACCCCTGTGGCAGTGATCTTAAAATGTCCTTAGTGGCTGAGTTGCATTGCTGGCGTAAACACTCTGCCAGCACGGGACCCTTTGCCTCTGAGGGTAACGCCGAGGAATCTAATGCAGCCTGGAGCTTATCCACGAATTGAGTGAAGCTCTCACTCTCACCCTGTTTTATGGAAGACCATGGAGAGGGTTTGGCTACCACTTTAGAAGCGTCACGGATGGCTTCTCGGGCAGCTCGGGTCGTTGTCATGACCTCATGGGCTCGCAGGCCCTCAGCCTGTTGCTGGGGGGTGATCATAGTGGGGTCTGTGCCCATAAGCCTCTGTATGCTGGAGCCATGCAGTGGATGGTCTGCCCCTGTTACCAAGGCTAGCTGTTTCATGCCATTATCCTCCCATTCTTGTTTGAACACGATCATCCCTGCACCATCCAATATCATTCTACATGTCTGCTTAATATCGAAGGGAAGCATGTCGTCCCCGCCAAAAAGGCCGTCTATAAGTGTGCAAACCATGGCAGAATTAATTCCCTTATCCGCAATCGCTTTAACAATTGCCTGCACATCTTTCGGATTGACTGGTGAATAAGTCCTTTGGTTTCCGCCTGCCCCCCCCACACGGACCGGGAACACTAAAGTGGCAGACGGAGCCCATTCCGCGCAAGCCATTTTTATTTTCCGCCAATTTGTGAGCGGGGTTTGGTTTTTCTCTGGTAACCCCTTCACCCAAGCGGGAGCACTGTGGCTAGTGACCTTACATGCCGCTTCTCTCTCTCTGTTAAAGCCGTAATCCAGATCGGAATCCTCTGATCCTATCTCGGGCTCGGAGCTCGAGCCCGAGTCCGAGCCGGAAGTTGAATAAGGAGATGCTTCCGGGCTGCTCTGCCTTTTCCCCGGACTCCGACCCCGCCCCCTCCTGCGGGGGTCGGGCCGTTCCCTCTCCCTGGGGTCCCCCCGCCTCCTGCTGGGGGAGGTCCTTGCCCTATAAGGACCTAATGTGAACTGAGGGCTCTGATTGATCTTACGCGTCTCCGCGGGGGCCGCCCCGTCTCCCCGCTCGCCCGCGCATGCGTTGTTAAGCGGGCTGACCGCGCTTCCGCCCCCCACCTCCTCCTTTCCGCCCGGACCACGCAGTTCGGCGCCATTTTCAAACGCATAAGGTGGGGGGGCGTTTTTATCGGTCCCTACGGGGTCCGCCAATTCGGCCGCGTTCCGCGCCTCCTCCGCGAGCCCCCGCCAGAACGTCCGCGGGTGTTCCCCCCCCTCCGATGGTGAATCCGCTCGCTGAGGGGGGTTTGGCGTTCGCGCCTCCGCGCGCCCGCCCGGGTCAGGCCCCTCCGCGGTTTGTGTCGCCGCGCCCACCCCCAACTGCGGCATGGCTAATAAACAAGTTCGCGCGGCTATCCAGGTTTCTTGCTCTTGTCGAGCCTTTTGCAGAGCCTGGACAACCCTGCCCCACGATTTTAGGGCTTTCCCTGAGCCCGAGGACATGGTGTCCTCCGCCAGGGCCTTTGTACAATTATCCCACACGTCCGAATGTAGGACGTCCACGGGGCTTTCAATAGCCCCAAGCTTAATCAGTCTCGGCAATGCGAGAGATAAATCCCTAAGTTTACATTCTATACCCCATTGTGCATGCATCTCTGTTACGACCTTCGCGATGGCTTCCATGGTCCACGCTGGTCCGGAGGCGTCCCTCCCGCTGTGGTCAGACCTGCTGCCAGCAGCCGCTGATCTCTGGCCAGGAGAATACCCGAACCCCGGGGGCTGCAGCAGTCCCGGGTTCGGCACCAATTTGTTGCCTTCTGATACAAGGCAGGCGACCTGGTTCAGACGAACAGCACAGCAGCCCTCTCACTAGGGCCACTCGGGCCAATGACACACGCAGACATCAATGTGATGGACGGTCAAAAGGCTTTTATTATCTCGTCTCTTGGGTTTTTATAGTCTAAGGGGTCTCTACGTCAGCATGGGTCTGTCTTTACCTTCTATGGTTAGTAAGAGGTGGACTGTTACTGGGTAGGGGATGGAAAGTTACTGGAATTTGGTTAGGCGGGTTACATTCCTATGTTAGTTTCTTATCTATGGGAGGCAGATGGTCTTATCTAAGGGGATCTGAGGGTCCTGGCTTTCCGTGACATCGCGAGATCTTCCGCAGCGCCTTTCCCTGTCTACCACATGGCACAGAAATCCAAAACCTGTGGCAGCTTCCTGCTACTGGGTCTGGCACCACCCACATCTTGTGTTTCATGTAACCAGAACCCAGATTTGGAAATTTCCCGGTGCCAGCAGAGCCCAAATCTGGCAGATTTCTGTCACTGGCAATGACACCACCCAGATCTGGTGTTTGCTGGCAGTGCCAGCGCCCAGATCTGAAAACTTCCCGGTGCTGGCCCAGTCCAAGTCCAGTGATTTGCTGGCACAGAAAGCCAAAGTTTGGAAATCTGCAGGTTCTGGCACCAGCACTATCCAGATCTTGTGTTTGCTGGGACCGCCAGTGCCCAGATTTGGAAATTTCCCGATGCCTTCACAGCCCAGGTCTAGCAATTTGGTTTTAGCTAGCTTAGGCAGAGAAGTCTGTGACTTTCCTTTTTCTTGGAACTGTTTAAACCTGCTCTGGACTGAAAACCCAGAAAAACACCAGCAGCTCACACCGGTGGCCCACTGAGTTCTGGGACGCTGCATTCCAGCTCCAGAGGGACTTAGAAGAGACCGAGTGAGCCAACTACAAACCACAAAAAGGACTTTCTGAATTTGCCATCTCTTCAGCACTGTCCAAGGTTTTATTTAATATTATTCATTTTCCATGCTTGTGAATACTTTACTTGTTTAATAAACTGAGGTTTTTTTCACTTTTCTCCAGGGAAGTCTTTTCCTGAACTAGTAGGTGTAGGGGCTGCTTGAACTTGCTTTCTAGATGAACCCCTTTTGGAGGTTTCCTCCCAAAATTTGCCCTAAGCCAGCACTAACAGTCATCATGAAAATTGCACCAGTGGTATAATTTCCTGGTGGCAAATCTTGTGACAGAAGCTTGACCTCGTTCTCCATGAGAGATTCTTGGGAAGAGCAGACAGGAGAAGATTCCTGGAAAACTGAAACAGCTTTCCAGAAGTGAAATGAAAATGAAAGAAACAATCCAAGATATTTCCCTCTATTTGTTTCTATGCTCTCCTTTTCCATGTGGCATCCCAGTAATTCTAGATGCACCTTACCTCTAGGATTGATGACTTAGTGATTTTTAGACACTCTAAAACACCATGAGCCACACACAGTTTTCCTTCCCCTGTTTTTACTGGAAAGCAACACTGGATATGTAAGTGCAGTGCTGGAGTCAGGTAGGAATCCTACCCCAAGGGAAGGTGACCCGACAGTGTTTGACCCTCAGCAAGGACAATGGACAGCAGCGAGAGAGGGGATCGCTGTGCCAGTGTGCAGGAGTCAGGGCTCTGCATCTGGGCTCAGCGCTGCAAAGTTCCCGTGTTTGGACAGACGGAGGGGCTGTCCCCGGGGCGCGCGGGGCTCAAACGTGGGGCTCGTGGGGCGAGCGGGGAATGGACACGGGAACGAACGGCCTCGGTGCTTCAGTTGCAGCGGCGGCAGCGGCGGCAGCAGCAGCGGCGGCGGTAGCAGCGGCAGCGGCAGCGACAAAACAGATAATTTAGAATGCTCTTTCTCTTTTTCTTTTTGTTTTTCTTCCTCTTTCTCTTTTTCTTTTTTTTTCTCTTCCTTTCCCGCTGTCGGGCACCCTTCTCTCAGGGTCCCTTGCCCGGCGTCCCTCTCCTCTCCCCGCCTCCCTCTCCCCTGCCGGCCGGGCCATGCCCCCGGCCCGCCCCCGGCCCCGGGCGGGGCTGTCCCGTGCCCGGCCCCGGCCGTCCCGCCGCGGTCTCGCCTCCGCCCGGCTCTGGCTGTACTGGCGGTGGCGCTGCCGGGCGGGCATCAGTGCCTGGGGCCGGGCCGGCATCGCCGACCTTTGCCTCCGCCTGGCCCGAGCCCGGCCCCGGCCCCGGCCCCGGCCCCGGCCCCGGCTCCTCCCGCGGCCCGCGGAGGACACACGCGGCCC